CCCCCCCCCCCCCCCCCCCCCCCCCCCCCCCCCGGAGCACTGCTTTACCACGTTCTATCTGAATTCGTGTTATATCGGGTCGCGTTATATCGGGGTAGAGGTGTACTTAATTTCAAAGGAGTAGAGCTAGTAAAGAGGGTTGGTTTTTTGTTTTGTTTTTAAGAGCAATGATTATGAGGAATAATCTGGTCAGTCAGTTACTTCTTGAGAGAGGAATGAAGCAGCAAGAGTAGTGTTAAAATATTTAACTTTTGTAATATTTAAATAGGGATTGCGTTATCTTGGATAACATTCGGTTTTGATTATATAGAACTCTCCCAGAAACTGCTTCAAATTAGTTTTGTGTGTTGCAAGAGTAACCTCTTGTGGCAAAAATATGCACTGCAATTGTAAGCTTATTGTTTGACTGCAAATGAAATACCTCTCCTCTTCGCCCCACTGCCGCCCTCTCTCCCCCCCCCAATGTATACAGGTTTCAAACTGAAATTCTGACAGTGAACAAACAGTTTCCTTGTGAACCATTCAAGTTTTTGGAACCAACTCTGAGGTTGGAGTACCGTGAAGCTCTGGCTATGCTCAGGGAAGCTGGAGTAGAGATGGGGGATGAAGATGATCTAAGGTACATACATATTGTTGGAATGTAGTACAGTCTTGTAAAAGTGGTCTAGCACCGTCTGTTGTTAAGGTGTCAATTTTGCATTGTGTGACCAAAGAGCATGAGAACACATCACAAGTTTTTGAAATGAAGAATAAACTAGACCATATCTGTTGAAAAATTAAAGTGACTGGATATGAATTTTTTTTTTCCCCACTGTAGATTTTATACCTTAGAAAGTCCAACACAAAACTGTGACGTTGTGCAGTCTATCTGGTTTTATAAAAACTTGATAATAGGTCAATATAATGTAACTGGGATAGTTTTGGAGAAAATACGGTGATGGGTGAATGTAGCGTAACTGGGATGTGCTTCATGCAGGAGGTCTCTTGTAGGGTATCATCATTACAAGGCTTATAATCTGCGGAGTATGATCATCTGATTTGTACAAATGTGCCACTCTTGTATCTAAAACTGGAAATGTAGAATGTAACTCTGAGGGCCTATTGTAATTATGTAAAGTGTGGGCCATTAATGATGGTTTGGAATCTTGATGACTCCCATTGACCAGGACCATTGTCTGCAGATGGTTGTGTTTACCTGTTAGTCTTCCTGTATATGTGTGTGCTGGCAAGTGGGCAATGAAGTCTTGCAGTGACATGTGATCATGTCACCTGAACTGGAATCCATCTTTAACCTGGTGTTTTTCCAGTGAGGGGGGGTGGAAACCCAGAGGGACAAAGGGTTCCCGCCTTATGCAAAAGATATATAAAGGGGTGGAAGAGAACAGAGAGTGAGAGGAGCCATCATGAAGAATCCCCTAGCTACCACCTGAGCTGGAACAAGAGCTGTACCAGGGGAAAGAATTGTGCCCAGGCCTGGAAGGTGTCCAGTCTGAGAAAAACTTACTGAAGCATCTCTGAGGGTGAGATTATCTGTATTTAGTTTGATTAGACATAGATTTGCGCATTTTATTTTATTTTGCTTGGTGACTTACTTTGTTCTGTCTGTTACTACTTGGAACCACTTAAATCCTATTTTCTGTATTTAATAAAATCACTTTTTATTTAGTAATTTACTCAGTGTATGTATTAATACCTGGGGGAGCAAACAACTGTGCATATCTCTCTATCAGTGTTACAGAGGGCGAACAATTTATGAGTTTGCCCTGCATAAGCTTTATGCAGGGTAAAACGGATTTATCTGGGTTTAGACCCCATTGGGAGTTGGGCATCTGAGTGCTAAAGACAAGCACACTACTGTGAGCTGTTTTCAGGTAAACTTGCAGCTTTGGGACAAGTGATTCAGACCCTGGGTCTGTGTTAGAGCAGACTGGAGTGTCTGGCTCAGCAAGACAGGGTGCTGGAGTCCTGAGCTGGCAGGGAAAACAGGAGCAGAAGTAGTCTTGGCACATTGGGTGGCAGCTCCCAAGGGGGTTTCTGTGATCCAACCCGTCACAAAAACAAACTAAAAGTACAAAGAGGGCGGAACTCCTTTTAAGAATAAAACATTTGTCTGCCTAGCAGTGGCAGGAATCTGTGTGAGCATGATTTTAGTTCAAAAACTCTACAGTCAAAAATCTTGCTTATTGATCAGCCCTTCTACCATGGAAATTTGCTGTACATTTTTTCCTGTTTAACATTGGTCCTGATCTAATTCCCATTGATATCGGTGGAAGTTGATAAAGGCCCTGTGGGTTCACAACAGCTTCCAAGTACATTTACCACATTAAAACATTTCTGCTCTTTTGCATATGTACAACAACATAGAGGTGTGTGTTACTCTACAGGTAAATAAAAATCAGGGCTTTGGAGTGGAGCCCGGAGCTGGAGCGCGGAGCAGTGGAGCTGCAGGTTTTTGCCTGGAGCTGGAGCGGAGCTGGAGCACAGCTCCAAAGCCCTGAAAAAATAACAGATCTCTGCCCCCAAAAGGTTGCAGTCTAAGGGCACAATATTGCAAAATGCTTATTTCCATATCTAACTGGTATCATTTTACACAAGTGTCAATGATTATGCAAGTCAGTGGGGAATCAGGCCCATAATCTTTCACTAGTAAAAATAGTGTGAGAAGAACTGGCAAGGTAATAGCAAGCACATATGTAGATATCAGTTAATTCAGGGGGGTTATATTTCTGCAAAGTGGGATGTTTTAGGACACTACCGCACTTCATTTAAGAACACAAAGAAATGTGATTAATGTTTTTAAAATTCTGAGTTGTAGGATCTAAAAATATTCAGGAACTATTTGTATGTTTTCCAAAGGAGGGTGTGGGGGAACCCATCAGATATAAATCTGTTAAATTCTTTGAGGTGTATGTCTGGTAAAGGTCTTATTCTGATGGTGAGAATATTTCTTTTCAGCACACCTAATGAAAAGCTTCTGGGTCGTCTGGTGAAAGAGAAGGTAACAGTCACTTCAGAATAAATTACTCTCTTTATTAAAACTGAAGCTTAATTTCAACATAGAAAACTAGAGAGAAATGTCTGTTTTGTACAAAACAGCTTTTTGCATCTCTAATACAGGCTGTTCTCTGAACAAGCCAGAGTCATTTGGGCTGCATTCTATGATTGGCATAAGACTTTCTCAATGATTGTTCTAGATCAGTGGTCCCCAAACTTTTGAGGGTTGTGCCCCCACTTACCCATGTCTGTGCCCCTTGGGGCTGGGAGTGGGGCCGCAGGTCTGGATGGGGGGAGGGTGAATGTGGACAGATAACTGGTTAAAAGACAGGGAACAAAGGATAGGAAAAAATGGTAAATTTTCAGAATGGAGAGAGGTAACTAGTGGTGTTCCCCAAGGGTCAGTCCCAGGACCAATCCTATTCAACTTATTCATAAATGATCTGGAGAAAGGGGTAAACAGTGAGGTGGCAAAGTTTGCAGATGATACTAAACTGCTCAAGATAGTTAAGACCAAAGCAGACTGTGAAGAACTTCAAAAAGATCTCACAAAACTAAGTGATTGGGCAACAAAATGGCAAATGACATTTATCCACATTAAATTTAAAGTAATGCACATTGGAAAAAATAACCGCAACTATACATACAATATGATGGGGGCTAATTAGCTCCAACTAATCAGGAAAGAGATCTTGGAGTCATCGTGAATAGTTCTCTGAAGACAGCCATGTAGTGTGCAGCGGCAGTCAAACAAAACAAACAGGATGTTAGGAATCATTAAAAAAAGGATAGAGAATAAGACAGAGAATATCTTATTGCCCTTGTATAAATCCATGGTATGCCCACGTCTTGAGTACTGCGTACAGATGTGGTCTCCTCATCTCAAAAAAGATATACTGGTATTAGAAAAGGTTGAGAGAAGGGCAACTAAAATGATTAGGGATTTGGAACGGGTCCCATATGAGGAGAGATTAGAGGCTAGAACTTTTCAGCTTGGAAAAGAAGAGACTAAGGGGGGATATGATAGAGGTATATAAAATCATGAATGGTGTGGAGAAAGTGAATAAGGAAAAGTTATTTATTTGTTCCCATAATATAAGAATTAGGGGCCACCAAATGAAATTGATGGGCAGCAGGTTTAAAACAAATAAAAGGAAGTTCTTCTTCACACAGTGCACAGTCAACCTGTGGAACTCCTTGCCTGAGGAGGTTGTGAAGGCTAGGACTATAACAGGGTTTAAAAGAGAGCTAGATAAATTCATGGAGGTTAAGTTCATTAATGGCTATTAGCCAAGATGAGTAAGGAATGGTGTCCCTAGCCTCTGTTTGTCAGAGAGTGGTGATGGAGGGCAGGAGAGAGATCACTTGATCATTACCTGTTCGGTTCACTCCCTCTGGGACACCTGGCATTGGTCACTGTCGGTAGACAGGATACTGGGCTGGATGGATCTTTGGTCTGACCCGATATGGCCATTCTTATGTTCTTGTGTTCTAGGACAAGGAATTTTATATTCAAGAATGCTAGAGCTCATAACAAATGCAGTGTCCAAAAAGCTAGTATAGATACTACAGTAGTGCCCCTTTTTAACTATTGTTTTTCAAGCTAAGTTATGGGTGAAATAAATGGATCAACTGTTTCTCCTTTTTTTAAATTGTGCAAAAGTTAATAAAAAGACAAGGTTTTAAACTAACAGACCTTTTGTTTAGATTTAAAAGAATCATTGATTGTCGCTTCCTCTATGTAACCCTCACCTCACCCTATTTGATCTAATATTAACTTTATTAAAATATTTGTTGTCTCACAGTACGATACAGACTTCTATATTCTTGACAAATATCCTCTGGCTGTGAGGCCTTTCTATACAATGCCGGACCCAGGAAATCCTGTAAGTAAAGTTGTGTAGTGTTGTCAGTGTAAAAAAGCGAAGTTTTAATCTAGCTATGAAAACCTAATTTGACAAAGCACAGCTGAGTTAAAAACTTTTTCTTATGTGATCTGCAGTTCCAATAAGATTTGTTGTTCACATTGGTATTAAGAATAAACCAATATCTGATAGGCCATACCCTGTATTAGTTACATTTACTGTTAAAAATCTGCCAGAAAGAAAGACAAACAGCTGTAAATATTAGAAACCCATAGGAGAAAACTTCCCAGCAGAGGCCTTGTCTGTCAGAGTACTGCTGTTTCTGTAGTCACTAATGCATGGAGAGCAAAACTAGTCTTACAGGGGAATAAAAGCTCTAGCAGAAGCCATGCTTTCTTTGGTTTTTATATGGAGTCCTCTAATTGTTGCCAGAATGGGCTCTGCATTTTTACATTTACATTTGCTGAAACTCCAGATACAAATGATGTGATTCTGCAAAGAGGGGGGTGGCAGAATTCAGGTTCACAAATCAGTTTGTCTGAATGTGATGACAGGAAGCAGAGCTGAGTTTACTGATGCTGATGCAGCCCACAGTACTTCACATGGTCACCTAGCTGCATCAAGTATCATAGGTGAAGTTACTGAAAAGCGCATTTTGTCTGGTTGCAGGCTGAGCAGGTGTCAGTGGGAAACACACCCTTCTCTCCAACTTCAATCACTAATGAAATGCAAACTTTTCCTTTCCAGAAAAACTCCAACTCCTATGATATGTTCATGAGAGGGGAAGAGATTTTATCTGGGGCTCAGAGAATTCACGATCCTCAGCTGCTGACAGAAAGAGCCCAGCATCATGGTGTTGGTAATAAAATGTTTAAACTTTGAAAGATTATAAATTGTGAGATAGAATTTGTTTTTTCATATGACTTCCAAAATCTGTGCAAAGCATTGGTAATGAGGGAGAGAACAGTTCAAAATTGAAGCATGAAATGAAAACCCTTTTCTCTGTCTATTTCTGTCTTTAGTTTCAGGTATGACAGGCATACTTCCTTGTCTGAATCATTTGCATCAAGGGAGTTCTGAATGTTTTTCTATACCTTTAAAGGAAGATTTTGGGACAGTTTGATACCATAATCTGGGGCACTATTGCAATAGTAATACTGGCTCTTGCATAACATTAACTAATTTCTTTCTAATTTAACCATTTTTAATTCATTATAGTGTTAATCCTTAAGAAAAACCTATAAACTATTTTCTAAGGGCCGTAGAGAGTACAGGAAGTAGGAAGGCTTTCTGCAGCAACAGACAGGGCACTCTTATCAGAGCAAGTCCTACCCTGGCGTGGTTCTGGTATACTACTTCCAGTGCAACTCCTCACTGCTGCTGACCCTTGGGTTTTGAACCAGTAAGAGGGGAAATGGGTCATGTAGGGAACGTCTATCAGTGGAACTGGGGAGGGAATCCACGTGGATGCAACCTGGATAATAGAGGGAGACAGAAGGGAAGTGAGTGGAAAACAGAAGTGAATCAGCAGAGGTGAGGTGAGTATTGAGTCGGGATACTTTGTGAAGGGTAGCAAGTAGGGTGGCAGTGCATCTATCTTGGAGTTAAGGAACAGCAGCTGGGAGAGCTCTCTTGCTGGTGGCTGTGAGGAGACAGAGAAGCTGAAGAGAGTACACTGAGCATCAGCTTCTCAGAATAGTGTACCAGCATGAATGTTCCACTATATTTCTCAGCTCTGTAAGGGTTAAGATCACCATGATGTACAGTAGAGGCCTAGCTGCTATTCCACTATAAAAGGCATTCCCCAAGTAAATCACATCAGGGGACTTCATGGAGTTTCATTGATTATAAATTAAAGAGAATATTCCATATAAAGTCATAGCTTCTAGACAGTGCTTCATTATTTATATCTGTTTGATGGCTACAGACCGACATCTGGTTTCATGGCTTCATTGCCCCAGTTTTTGTTTTGTAAAATCATTATGGACACACCCAAGCATTTAGTCTTTGGGCTTCTTTGAGTATATTAGTAAGATGAGACATTAGCTCTGCATGAAAATAAAAATTATTTTCTTCTCTAGACTTGGAGAAAATAAAGGCTTACATTGATTCCTTCCGTTTTGGTGCACCTCCACATGCAGGTGGTGGGATAGGTAATGTATCTGCCTTGATTTTATTTTTTGCTAGGTTCCAGTCCAAGTTTAACATCAGATGGTCAGTCTCAAGTAACTTTATTTAGGATTACAGTAATCAATCAAGTGTTCAGAATAAAATTCAAAAAGTTAACCTGGGTGTATGATGTGGCCTTGTTGAGCAACATTGTAAGTTCCTTATCTAAGAATATTTAAGGAAAGAAGCTTAAATTGTGAGCATTAGTAATTTCTTAAAATGGAAAATATTGAGGGAACAATCTGCCAAGGTTCAGAGACACAGAGCACAAGAATAAATCACTTGTTAGTCACATTGATCATTCTGATTCTCAACTTTAATAAAAAAAAATACTCTACTTCGTATGATTTATTATAACTGACTTAAAGTGAATAAAGATAGTGGAGGCTCTAGGCCGCTCACTGCTTTTGATTAAACCATTCTGAAGTCAGGAGAAACCAGTGATTGCTTTTATTTTATTCATGGTGAAGTTACCCAGCTGAATCTCATTGATCAGCTACTTGTTCAGCAAAGATATTGAGGTTTAGGGGTTTCCTATGTATGAACATTTTAAATATTAAAGTGAACAAAAATGAGAGAATTTTTCAAAGTGTATAGCATTAAATTTTAAAATGCATTTTAAGCACAGCAATTTGCAATTGCACACACTGGTCTCAGCAGCAAAATGTAACCTACTCATGCATTTTGAAATAGAGTTCTATATGTGTCCTAAACACAGTAAGTGCCCGAAACCAATGCTCTTTGTTTCGGTCTCTCTTTGCACGGGTGTCTTCTTATCTTTGTAAAATGAATTTAGAAAATTCTAAACAAATTTTCAGAACAATTTCTAAATCAGATATATTCTTCAGTAATTAGATTTATAAGAAATTGTAAGCAACCCATTGCAGAGAGGGCTTTATGTCAGATGCAAGTATTAGTGAGCTGGAAAGGCAGCCTGAACAGTGAAGTGGCAACATTTGCTGATATCCTGACCAACCTAATAATTGTCTCTAGAGAAGACTGTGAGGAACTTCTGAGGGACCTAACAAAGTTAGGTGAATGGGGAGCATCATGGCACATAAAATTCAGCATTTATAAATTGGAAGGAATAATAATTTCAGTTACATCCAGTAGTAGGTATTAGTTCTAAATTACCTGTAACTACTATGGGATAAGGAAGAAACTTCCCCAAAGCATAGGTCATTCCATAATTGTCTACTAAAGTTTCTGACACTTTGCCCTGAAATATTTGGTACTAGACACGGTCAGAAACTGCTCGGATGTGTACTGGCATCTACTATGGTCTTAAGACAGCACTCCTGGCTCCCTTATTTTTTCTCTCTTCTCCACCTTTATTATTATTATTATTATTATTAATTGTAGCACACAGAGGCTCCCAATGAAGTTGGGGCCCCATTTTGCCCTTTAGTGCCCACCTACTTAGTGCGCATTGCCCAATCCAGGCACACACAGGCAGCATAACACATGGCAGAATGTGTGTGGTGTTGGGAAACTTCCATTTTTTCTGGTGCTAGTTCCATTTTGTAGTCAGTTACGCTGATATCTGAGAGCAGTTGTATGCCCTGTTGTGTGGTGGTCCTTACTCTGCTGTATATAAAGCTTCCTAGAATTGTTAACTGTGTGTTCATGTTGTCAAGAGTTAGAAACTAATGACTGACTAGACTGGATTTAATTTTTGCAGGGTTGGAAAGAGTAACTATGCTCTATCTGGGACTGAGCAATGTTCGTCAAACCTCCATGTTCCCTCGGGATCCCAAACGACTAACTCCTTAAGACGTCGGTGTGAAAGTTTTCTCCAGTCCCCTGCTATTGATCAGCCTATACCCTGACTGCTTGTAATATGCACTAAAATAAGGAAGTCAAATCTACTGAAGTGCCACAACAACAGTATTTTGAATCCTTCATTATTATCTGTTTAAAGGGAAGTATTTTAATAAATCTGGAATGTTTGCAATAGGTGTGCGTACATTTTTTATGTAATGTCATACTTGCGTTCAGTTAATGTTATACTAGTGCATAACTTAGCAAGTTTCTAAACACTTCAGTTTTAATAAACTGTGCAATAAAGACTACAAAAATAGGAATTTTTAACTTACAGCAACAAGATGGTATATCTTGTAGTACAGTATTTGATCGAAGCTTAAACAATAACTGTAGACAATGGTAACCTAAAAAGCAGGCGGAAAGTAGCAAGTTGCTAACTAATTTACCTGATAAACTGAGTATTGTGAAAAGCAGGTGAAAAGTTGAACTTTCTTAACTAAAAGTGTTCATACTAAATTGTAAAAATAGATTGCAATAAAACTCAAAGTAAATTATTTATTCCGTATCTGGTTTTTTTTCTTTGGGTTCATATAAAATAATCCTGAGCATACAGAAGTTGTTTGGAAAGAGATGCTACAAACACCTGAAGTTTAATTTGGTTATTTTTTTTCTTTTTGTGTATAACGCCTTCAGAAAGTAATATAAAGACAATGTGACCACTCTTAGTTTTAAGATTGTGTGTGTATTACCCATTCATGTGGTGGGAACCTGCCCCGCCCCTGTCAGGAAGGGGTTAAAGAACTACTCTGGGCAGTCAGCTCCAACCCCACACACCTGTGAAGCCTGCTCCACCAGGAGAAGGCCAGCTCCTTAAAAGTGAGTATCTAAGCCCAGTAAGGGGTGGCATGTACAACAGAAGCAGAGCTAGTTCACAGAACTCCCTAAACCCACAGAGCAGGGACTACTGACTAGAAAAGCTGTTTAAGATTCTCTGCTGCCTGGACCCTCTGGATAAGTAGATAGACCTTGTTTATTTTTTTCTTTTCCTTAGAGCCCAGGAAGCTCAGCCTGATAAGGGGTTAGAAACCCAGCCCCGACAACTGACCCCATTGCCTTGCAAGGAGAGTGGGGCAAAGCTGGACCTTTGTGGGTTACAGAACTGTTCCATTTTTCCTTTCTGATTTGGACTATGGGGAGGGAGGGAGGAACTGCCTCCCTGATATTCACAACTCTGGGGACACAGCTCCTCTTTAGACCAACACTATAGCAAATCCTGCTGCAAGAGAAAGGTGCTGGGGCAAAAGAAGCACTCAGAATGGCGTGCTCTAAAGGTAAAGCCTCTGACAACATACAAAATAGGAATATCTGAGGAGAAATCAGCAAAGACATTTCAAGAGTAATGCATAGAAAATGAATTTTAAAAAGAGATTCCTATGAGGTGGTTTCTTAGTGTCCGGATCCTTATGGAATAGTTAGTAAAAGAGGGAGAAAGTTTTTAACATATTTACACCATCATTTTAAGACAGGAGAATAATGTGATCCAATAAATATTGGGTTCTGATCCAATAAATATTGAGTTCTGTTAAGTATAAATCCTATGAGCAGGAAGAACTGAGCAATCTGCCACTATTTTGCATCTTTGATATATAGAACTGAAAAACTACATTTTTTATTGTTGATTTTTTTAAAGTATTTTATATTCTGTTCATAAACTTGTACATTATTTCCCCAACACAGTGTTGCCACCTGAAAGCTCGTGTATTAACTAGTCTTTACTTTTAAACAAGCATCGGTTTGTGGAGCAATTTAGTCATATTTTTCCTTATTTCTAACACTGATCAGTTTTAAAAAAAAAATTTGCTTGAGATTGGCGTTTTCCATCTCTCTATAGCTTGTTGGTTTTTTAAGCCTACCAAGGTCAGTTGTGCCTTCTCAAGATGGTGCATTGCTTTCTATAATGAAATAAACTAAAATTATTAATCTTTGTATATATGAAATGTCCACTTGCAAAATCTTCAGAATGAGCGTTTTGTTAGAAACATAATTTTGGTGAGGCTAATATCTGAAGTAGGTTTTACCTTGTGAGTGAGGCTATGTTGTAGGCTTTGACTCCTAAAATATCAATGCTAGATTTACTTTTATGCTGACTGTGGAGGGTCAGGTGTTAGCTGGAATATGATGTATTTAGTAATAAATTGCTTATTGCATGAGAGATTTTAATTATGAATACACTATTTATGGAAATACATATTTGTGTTCATTACTTTCATGCAGGTAATTTATTTAACATAGAACATCTTTAATTCGTTGTATGACTTTTGCTAAATCATGTAATCTTCCCATACATTGGTCACTCCAGCTGTAAAACGATGGTACTTAGATACCTAATCGGTGTGCTGTACTTTATCCATTAGGCTAAAATTTTCAAATATGGGTGCCTAAAAATTAGGCACTTAGTTATATTGAGGTGCATAAAAATTGAATTAACTTGTTTTGCAGAGGTGGTGAGCATCTGTGACTCCCAGGTTCTAAAATGTTGGCCTTAACATTTAACATGTTTAGAGATCCTTCTATAGGAGGAACTTTATAGATGCTAAGTGTTTTTGCCACCTTGATGTTAAAGTGCCTGGAAAAGCAGATACTGGTTATAATACAAGGATCAAACTATGTGCAGTTGTGGAGCATATTTCAAAAAGGCTAATCAGTTTTTGCAATTGCCATCTAACAAGGCTTTAAGCTCTAATGTTTTGTGATGGAGTTCTCTAATAAAACATAATCAGTTTAAGATGCCAAAAGCTTTGATAGAAGTCATGCAATTCAGAAAATACACTGCACAGCTTTGCTGTTGAGCTGTTGTGATGATTTACTGTGGAATTTTCCCAGAATTATTAATTTGTTTAAAATCTGTTGCAGTGTCCCGGTTGTACTTAACAAGCTAAATGGATTATAAATACAGCTGATTATCACAGATTTATTACTGCTAAATCCTAGCTTCAAAAGAGTTGTTTATTCAGCTAATCCAATGGGAATTAATCAAATTCAATTAACTTTTCTCATACAGAGCTGGTAATGTATCTGGATGACAGTCTTTTTTGGAAGCCTCATTTATGATTAAAAATCACTGCCTCGTGTTTTGTGCCAACAACAAATTGAGGAAAGACTGTTTCAGAAAGAATTAAATGCAGGTTGCCATTTGCTCCTTTAGCCATGAAAGTATGCAGCATGTTTGGTGCATACATACCATGTAATCACTGTGGGTACTCTCTGGCAATGAGCTGTATCAGTTTTTCCATAGGAGCTGTCCTAGCTCATGTTTCAGTTCAATTTATTCACACTGGCTGTACTAGGGCCATATTTAGGATGTGAGGCTGGATTCCTCTATATGCATAATCCTTAATGTACAATTGGCTCTTAGCTGCCTAAAGAATAATTCACAAGAATAAATACCTTCTACATTAAGATTTATATTCTGCTATGGTGGTGGGGTTTTTTAATGTGGGGGTAATTTGGGGTGTAAAACACTTCATTATAACATAGTTAAAACTTTACAAATAGTTCTCCTACAATTGTATGGTGCTGTCTTGATAAATATTGAATCTCCTATAGCAGATTTAGAAAAATCAATTGTTCATAATCCTTAATTTTCCCCCAATTTTTGGGAGGGATCCCAAAATTTTAAACATTGATCTGCATGACTGCTTCCTTTATTCCAATCCAGACTTCTGTTTTTTGTATTCTTAAAATATATATATGACCGACATTAGAGTCTGTTAAACATTCCAGAACCAGAAAAGATATTAGAGAGCAATAGCCACAGAGCCTCTGTAAAACTTGCTTTACTTCTAAAATTTTCATACAAAGTAAACCTAGGGCCTAGTTCTCTTATGAGAACACATCTGTATTCTTCAGGAGAGAGTTCTCTGTCCCGCTGGGCAGATTCAAAGGCAATTCAGAGCTGCCAATCAGCGAGCCCAGGGCTCTGCAGATCATCCACTGGCTGCATAGAAACAGAGTCCTGCCTTTGCCAGCAGGAAGTCAGGCAGAAGCAAACACTATTATTTCCATTCCTTTATTTAACTTTAGCAGTCAGAAGCATGCAGTTATGGGGTGGACCTACAGAGCAGTGGGCTTCCTGATTGACAGCTCTGAATTGCCTTTGAATCTGTACAGCAGAAGGACAATCCATTTAAGAGTATTGCCAGGCATGCTATCCTGTAGACAATAAATTAGCAGAGAAACCAGCCTCTCATATTAGGAAGCAAAAACCATTTCACAGAGCTATTGAAAGTTGCTCTGAACATTAAGAACAAGAGAAGTTGGTGCATTTTATTAATAAGAGGAGAAAATTCATTTTATAGTATCTGGCTTTGATATCCCCATTCCTCTTCCCCCTCTGGCTGCTCCATTCATGCTTGGACGGGGTCCTGCCTAATTACAGCTGCCTGGCTTGAGTTTTCTTTTCTTAACCATTTTACTCCATCTTATCTCCAGCCAGGTATCAGATGAGGCAGAGAAAGAGAATACTTTGCTCCAGAAATCACAGTTAAAAGAAAAAATGATGTATTTAGATTAGCTTCCTTTAAATGCACTATTATACACTTGGGAATGTTAGTCCTTTTATTTAACTTCTGTTTTCCTTTCCCATCTAGCCTGTTTTCTCTTCATTTATAGTCTCTTCATCTGCAAGTATTTGTTCTCCTGCTTGTGAGAATCTCTTGGTCTTAGTGGTCACCTTTTTTTCTAAATTAACTTCACAGTGCACTTCTGTTTTTCTGAACATCTGGTCAAGTGTTCAGTTTGTAGTGACAGTGCATGGGGTGGTGGTGAGGAGGGTGTGGGAAGCAGTATGAAGCTTCCATTAACTTTCATGTGTTTTTTTTTTTAAGACTTAAAGCCCTTCTACATATGAGAACCAAAACAAGAGTTGGATTTTAGCATGAGTAATGTCCATGTAACATGAGTATTCACATTATAAAGTTATAGGTGGATGATTTTTACAAGTGCACTAG